CCACCGCGCCCGGCCAGCTCTATCCTTTTGAATGGATTAATGCCATTGTAAAAAGGGCTTTCAGGAGTGAGTTTGTCCTCTTTTGCTCTTCTGCCATGTGAGGACACAAGGCTTTTCCTCTCTTGCCCTTCCAACTTCTGCCATATGAGGACGCAGCAAGAAGGCCCTCATCCAGTACCAGTGCCTTGATCTTGGACGGCCCAGCCTGCAGAACTGGGAGACAATAAATTTCTGTTTTTTATAAATGACCCAGTCTGTAGTATCCTGTTATAGCATCACAAAACATAGTTAAGACAGTGTCTCTTTCTTGATTACTGAGTGTCTGTCAATAGTTTGAATATAATAGTATGTAATGATTTTAAAAATCATCAGAAACCTACGTGTCAGCAAGTAATAAAAGAAGCTAAAATACTTAAGAGCTATCTGACAATCAACATAATTTTTTTCTAATAGCCAAAATAAAAAGACTTTTATAAAATACTGAAAACTTAATATATTTTTGAGGCTAACAGACCTGGCTTTTAATTGCAGCTCTACCACTTTTTATATATGACTTGCATCTGTTATTTAATCTTTCTAAAGCAATTTTTTTTCTCATTCCTGATTAAGTAAATCGGAGTATGTAAAACACCTAGAATGATACAATAATAGTAGTTTTAGTATACATATGGCATTTGCCATCACTGGAACAAAATGGACCTTTCAGCTTTATTAGGGCTGATAAAAGTGGAGAAAAATGATCAAGTTAAGAGCCTGTTAAGAGACAATTAAGGCTTGAACTAAGGAAATAGCCAGGTACATAGTAAGGATGATTTGGGGAGGCGTTTTGAAGAAATAATCACATGCATGTACTTAACGACTGGTAGAATAAGGCAGTGAGGGAAAAAGATAATTTGGGTTGTAGCCAGGGGTTATCAACCAGTGTCATCAAACCAAACTAACTAGGGCCAAATTGGTATGAATTTGTATTTAATTATGCATTAAAATATTTGGTGGTGAAACTTAAAATACTTCCACCAAAGAGAAGTTATTATCTAAGTGGCCTTTACTGCATACTTCTTTCTTAAAAAATGAAAGAACTATCTACACTATGCTGTTTTCCAAGGTACTATATGAAAAATAGACTAGAATAAGCTATGATGAAGACAATGTATTTAGTTTCTGATTCTCTGATTTGAAAGAAAGAAACTGGCAACTAAAAGAAAGAAATTTAGAAAAGCAAATGAAAGGAGTTTCTTTCATTTGTTTCTGTTTTTTTCTAACTAGTTTGTTTTGGACTATGTATCAGTTTCCTGGGCCTGCCATAACAAAACACTGCAAACTGGATTGCTTAAATAACCAAAATTAGTGTCTCACAGCTCTGGAGGCTAAAAGTATGAAATAAAAATGTCATTAGGGTCATGCTCCCTCTGAAATCTACAGGGGAATCTTGCCTTGCCCGCTCCTGATTTCTGGCAATCCTTGGCTTCCCTTGGCTTGCGGAAGCAGCACACCACTCCTCCATCTTCCTACGGTGTTCTCCTGTGTGTCTTCAGTTGTCTTCTCTCTGTGTGCCACTGTTTCTGTGTCCAAATGTCCCCTTTAAGGACACCAGTCATAGTAACTTGATTACCTTATTTCCAAATAAGGTCACATTCTGAGGTATCTTTCTTGGGGGTGCACAAATAAACCCACAACAGGATATAGAAAAAAAAGAATTCTTATTTGTAATGAAAAATATCAAGCAATGCAGAGAAAAGAATTATTTTAATATTACAGATCTAGGGGACAAACCCATCAACTAGAGGATCTTTGACAAAGCAGTTAGCAGAAAAAC